TTGCTTTATAACTTTACGAGTTGTGTTTCCGTCTACATACTGAGTCATCCTCCCAATATCAGCATTTAGGCGAGTTATTCTATTTTCAATTCTGACCTGACATTTAGGTTTGTTGGCTTTCTTCATTGTGCCTATATTAAGTTTTCGTTCTTGTGTTGACTTTGCTGTATAGCGACTTGTATTGTTTAGTTCATCATTTCTGTTTATGATTGTCATGGTTGCACAGTATATCAACGTGTGAATGGCCATAACATCGCAGTTCTAGAAGGAAGGAAGTTTCGGATCAAAATTAACAATGTATTGTCAACAACACGGCCCGTAAGAGCCGGTGTTCCTCAGGGTTCGCTCTTAGGACCAATCCTTTATTCACTTTATGCTATGCTGACGACACTGCATTGCTAGCCCAGTCTTGTTCTGGTATCCTGGTTCACGATAGGCTGCAGAGTGCGGTGGAGGAAGTATTGGAGTGGGCGGATCGGTGGTTGATCAAAATTAATATTTCGAAAACGCAGGCAATCTATTGTACTAAAAAACGTCGCGGTGCCCCCTCAGAGATATCAGTAAATGGAACTTATACCATGGGAGCAATCTGTCAGGTATCTTGTCATTGACAAGGGGTGGACCTGGCAGAAACATACTGATATTTTGAAAACAAAATTCCAAATTACCTTCCGGCAGCTTTATCCTTTGTTGTGCAGAAATTCGAAATTAAGTTTGATCAACAAGATTCGGTTGTATAAAATTTTTCTTCTATATCATTTTTTCTCAGATCAGGCACATGCTGCTTAATATTTGCGTTGGATGTGGACGGAAGTGAAGTATTTTGTTCTGTCTCTACACTGCTCGTTTCTAATTGTGTGGCATATTGATCTCCATCAGCTGTCGACATCACAGTAGTAACTATTGGCTGATGTTGCTCCTCTAGTAGTAATGCTATTCTATTACTCGTCTCTGGTCAACTAATCTCTGTTGTTATACGTATTGAGGGTATTTTTCCAAAAACATACGATGTAGTTCTGTGAGGTATCCTGTAGTTTGAGTTTCTAGTTTGGTTATTGTATCATAGCAACGCATGACATTCGTACCTGTGGTCCATTGCATATGTTGCCTTTGTAATCCTGCTTATTATTATTATTATTATTATTACTATTATTAGTATTATTTATTATTATTATTATTTCAGTGTTTTCCTCTTGTCCTATTGTGGCAGTCTTAAGCAAAGCCAGATCTCTACCCGAGATCAAAGCGATTCACCCTAATACCTTGCGGATAATGTGAGCAGTACCCAGTAGTGCTGTTTCCTTATTAATATTATTATTATCGTTATTATTATCTATATTATTATCTGCACTTTCCGCGCAGCGCCATCAGTTCATATACATTATGTTCAGTACAAGTTTGACCCTATCCAAATAAGACATCAGCGCTATAGACCTTATAACCTGGATAGAACATAGCTGCTATGCTTCCCAAGTTAAAGATCGGCCAAAGATTTACGGAGAGACCGACAGACAGACCGACACCTACAAAACATATAAAAAAGCATATCTCATTATCGAAATTTGTCTCCAGCAGGCGTGGGAAATGGCGTCTGGTAGATTAATTTTGTACAGAATTTGGCAAGATAAACATTATCATTTGACAATTTTTCCAAGTTTTCTGGATGTTAAACGAAACCACGTATGTTGGTATATCATATGGTACATATCAGTATGAAGACTTTATTTTGTCATGAAACCTCATATTTCGGCTGCCCGGTATGTCGCCTTTTTAATGACAGTGGACGTCACCTAACTGTTAATTTAACGGTAACTGTCCCAGTTAGATTCAACTAGTCAGGTATAGGTGGCTATGTAACTGCCTTTCGGTGTATGCCAAAGGCTTAGGGGTATTCTGCATTTCCAGCCTGGCTGTTCATATGTAGGTGGCAGTTGTCAGTATGATTTGTGCACAACATACTTATTTTTTCAGTAGACCATACACGCTTGTTGACTTTCCGTTTGTCTGTCTTCAATGATTGGACCTATACCATAGTGATGACTCCTAACAAGCTTGAAACAATATTTCAAGCAGTTGGTCTGGGTTACAGAGATGCAAATCAAACAGATTTAGTTCTGCTTGTAAAGCTTTGTACAAAATACTTTAAAAAAAGATTTTCAATGGTATCCTTCAGGGGGATGTACCTCCGAAACAAAATTTCGCCAATAGGTCAAAATGATCGTAGAATAGTCCATAGAGTTAGCCCTAGAATCTATGTCTCATGTTTTGGAAGCTCCCTGTACTTTTTTGATGAACCTCTATCTTTTCCTGTTTGCTCATTAAATATACCAGAAGTGTTCCACCTCGGCAGCTGTATGCTGGTCCCGTATTTTGATGTGCACTTGATATCACTCCAAAAACAGACACAGCACATACGGTGCACCTGAAAGTTTCATTCCCACGCCACCTTCTGCATACTTTTTAACATTTTCCAAAACGACGCAGCTGTGCAAACATCAGCTCCGTTTCCCGCTCTTTCAGCTTTGATTTACAACCAAGTGTTGAACAATCGGGTGCGAAACCTGAAGAATCCAATTTTGATGATGTTCCATTTTACCCCTCCCAGACTGAAATCCTAGGAGCGCCACTGATTTTACGTATCTACGCATTCTAGCCCAATACACTGCAACTTGTTGTTTCAGTCTGTCAAGTGTGACTATTGTTTTCTCCGAATCCTTCCTTAGGTGCTCTGTTTGCTTTATAACTTTACGAGTTGTGTTTCCGTCTACATACTGAGTCATCCTCCCAATATCAGCCTTTAGGTGAGTTATTCTATTTTCAATTCTGACCTGACATTAGGTTTGTTGGCTTTCTTCATTGTGCCTATATTAAGTTTTCGTTCTTGTGTTGACTTTGCTGTATAGCGACTTGTATTGTTTAGTTCATCATTTCTGTTTATGATTGTCATGGTTGCACAGTATATCAACGTGTGAATGGCCATAACATCGCAGTTCTAGAAGGAAGGAAGTTTCGGATCAAAATTAACAATGTTTTGTCAACAACACGGCCCGCAAGAGCCGGTGTTCCTCAGGGTTCGGTCTTAGGACCAATTCTTTATTCACTTTATGCTATGCTGACGACACTGCATTGCTAGCCCAGTCTTGTTCTAGTATCCTGGTTCACGATAGGCTGCAGAGTGCGGTGGAGGAAGTATTGGAGTGGGCGGATCGGTGGTTGATCAAAATTAATATTTCGAAAACGCAGGCAGTCTATTGTACTAAAAAACGTCGCGGTGCCCCCTCAGAGATATCAGTAAATGGAACTTATACCATGGGAGCAATCTGTCAGGTATCTTGTCATTGACAAGGGGTTGACCTGGCAGAAACATACTGATATTTTGAAAACAAAATTCCAAATTACCTTCCGGCAGCTTTATCCTGTGTTGTGCAGAAATTCGAAATTAAGTTTGATCAACAAGATTCGGTTGTATAAAATTCTTCTTCAATATCATTTTTTCTCAGATCAGGCACATGCTGCTTAATATTTGCGTTGGATGTGGACGGAAGTGAAGTATTTTGTTCCTGTCTCTATACTGCTCGTTTCTAATTGTGTGGCATATTGATCTCCATTAGCTGTCGACATCACAGTAGTAACTGTTGGCTGATGTTGCTCCTCTAGTAGTAATGCTATCCTATTACTCGTCTCTGGTCAACTAATCTCTGTTGTTATACGTATTGAGGGTATTTTTCCAAAAACATACGATGTAGTTCTGTGAGGTATCCTGTAGTTTGAGTTTCTAGTTTGGTTATTGTATAATAGCAACGCATGACATCTTCATTCATACCTGTGGTCCATTGCATATGTTGCCTTTGTAATCCTGCTTATTATTATTATTATTATTATTATTATTAATTATTATTATTATTATTATTATTATTATTATTTCAGTGTTTTCCTCTTGTCCTATTGTGGCAGTCTTAAGCAAAGCCAGATCTCGACCCGAGATCAAAGCGATTCACCCTAATACCTTGCGGATAATGTGAGCAGTACCCAGTAGTGCTGTTTCCTTATTAACACGTTCGCGGACACTGACGGCATATCACGTCAATGAACTGTTTTCTAGCGGGGCACTGAGAAATGTTGAGGTGTGCTCAAAATGTCAGGTTGATAAATTATTTCATATCAAACATAGAAAAATGAATCAAATAGCATTCAAACAGGAATTTTTCACACATGCAGATATGATGAAAAAAAAATCATGCGGTATATGACGTCATGTCCCCCTACGCACCCATTTCACTCACATGGTATACTTGACGGCATATGCCGCATGCGAATAGCTGCTTGTTTAACTCATTTAAATTACCTGTTTTCTATTGAAGTCATGAACAATAACCAGAGCAGTACAGAAACAAGTTTTATTATCATAAGTATGTGTACAAACACAAAATAAATACATATTCCTTAAATTTTATTCATTGTCAAACAGCAAAATAAATACTTAGGTACTTTCAATATAAGCGATCAAGCTTTATGCCAAACCTGAAAACAGTCTCCAACACAAAGATATGGTTTTCCTATACAATCACGGCATTGCCATGCAGTCTCCTTCCTCCTTTGTTCTAGGTAGTACTGTTTACATCGTTTGTAAATCTTTTTTTTTACCTTTTTTGTTTTCTGGCACAGGTATAGCCTCCAAAACGTGGCCCAAATTTTCTCTACTTTTTTTGGATGGTATAGACTTTGTTTTTTCATCAAGTTGACAAATTCCCTTCCATCTCTCTGATCCGGAGAGATCCCAAGTAAGGATTTTATTAAATCATTTCGGAACTCTTTGAACGTCTTGTTATCTTTCTGGCTATGATGATATAAATAATGGGAATTCCAGACAGCTATATCAAGAAGATGAAATATAATAACCTTTTTGTGCCACCTGATTGTTTTTCTAGGACATGAATAATAGCTAATCATTTGATCTGCACGATCAATACCTGACATATTGTCATTATAGCAACTGACCATTAATGGCTTGGTTTTTTATGACCATACCTGTTGGCAATTTCAACCAATTCAGGCTTATAGCCCGTCGTGATGGATAAGACATCACGTTTGTCGCGCCATTTGGAAACATACACATTTCCCTTTCTTCTCCAAATATGCTGCCCGGATTTCAACTTGGCTCCAGTAACCTCTTTGGGATTACCTTTTCTATTCGAGCGTAATGTCCCCGTGCTGTGAGTTTTCCTTTGCAATAGGATTTCCGATAACTGGACACTGTTATAAAAGTTATCCATGTATATATGGTGGTCTTTATCTAGAAATGGCTCCAGAAGCCTAAGAACTAAATAATTTATTTTAGAACTGCCCCTGACATCTTCTCTATTAGATTTACCTTTATAAATTTCTATATTTAGGACATATCCGTCATTGGAACACATCTCATAGAACTTAATCCCATATTTACTTTTTTTGTTTTTTATGTAAACTCGAAACCGTAATCGGCCTCGGAAAAGTAACAGTGATTCATCTAGAGATAAGGCTTCTGGCGGAGAAAACATATTTTGGCTTGACTTAATGATAGATTTCACAAGCCAACTAACTTTATAGAGATTATCCTCCTTATTTTCATCATCTGCACAATTCAAGCACCTCAGAATCTGTTCAAATCGTCTACCTGACATAGTAGCCGGGAATATCGGATGATAATTGAGAGGATCCAGTGAAAACATGTCCCTAATAGACTTGAACTTCAACTGGCCAGCAAGGAGACACAAACCGAGAAAACCTTTCATTTCTTTTACGGAAATATGTTGAAATGTCTTGAATCGCTTTTTCTGGACTTAGGCCTATTGCCCACAAATAATAATTCACCATATTTATTTGACTTTTGATTAGTCACATCCACAGTCCCAATTTTTTCAAAAACCTCAATTGGAGGCTTGCCTGCTAGCTGTTCTTTCACACCAACTGATATGGAATCAAAGGAAAACTCTAAACAATCGATTATGTTATCTTCCCATTTTTGTTCATCGTTGTCTGGATCTAATAGAACATCGATATCATCAGAGCCCTCGCTATCGACATGTCCTGACGGCAAATCAACTTTTGATTTAGGTTCTTTCCGTTTACGCTTTTTTCGTGATGTTCCAGCTAAAATTTACAAACAAACGTAACTAATGTGTATTATGGGAAAAATGCGCATCGACTTACGCTCATCATTGTTTGGAATATTCTCGTATTCTGAATCAGTACAAGAGTCTGAGTCCTGTTACTAACTCAATTAACTTTACCATCAATGCACAACAACTTGAAACTGTCAGTGAAGCAAAGAACTTGGGTGTAACATTGGATGTAAATTTAAGATTTGAAAAACATGTAAATTCGCTCATTCGTAAGGCATATTCCTCTTTAAAAATATTGTACGGCAACAGACGTAACCTTCCCGTTAAAGTCAAAATAAATGTGAGTCGTTGGTGCTCTCGCACTTAAATTTTTCTGATATGTTGTATGGCCCATGCTTAACTGCCACTTACAAACAAAAAATTCAGGTTGCGCAGAATTCTTGCCTCAGATTAATATATGGCATCAGAAGACGAGACCGAATATCCTATAAGTTGAAAGATGCGAATTGGTTGAACATGGAAACAAGAAGATTTTTGCATGCCGCAACATTATATCATAAAATAATTATCTATAAGACCCCCACTTACTTATTTGAAAAAGTTACATTTCGAACAGATGTGCATAACATCAATATAAGATCCAGGGGGTTGCTGACACCGCCGATATTCCGAACAGCCCAATTTGAACGATCGTTCAGCTACCAAATTTGTTCCGTTTATAACACCTTTCCGGTACAATATAAAACTCTGAGCATCTCAAGTTTCAAAACTCAATTAAAAAAATATCTCTTATCCCAGCAGTAGTAACCATGTCTCAGGAAAATATTGATACAAGTTTATGATTAATTTTAGTAGATGTATTAATGTAGGCAATGCATATACATTTAATATTTGTAATGTGTAGAATAAGTAGGTCTCACTCACCTTTTGTACGGACTTTTTTTATAGCGGGTTAAGTGGAAGAGCAGCTACAGCTGAACTTCGCCCGTATTTGGCTATTTTTTTATATAATCAGTCCATTTGGAAATAAATACGTTTATTATTATTATTATTATATATTCTGGATCAGCAATGGAGTCATCTGTACTATATGGATCATGTCTGCTTTCATCTTCGCTCTCACACTCTCCATACCAGCGCATCCACTGCTCTCTATATTTATCGTCCATTTTGCTGTAGCTCGAATGCATACATCCGCTCTCGATAACGAATTGACTCATACTGCCAACACGTATACGTATGACTACCGATGTCCGAAGATGTACCCCTCCCCTCTTAAAAAATATCTACTACACTTATTATTTGGCAGTAGGTGTCCAGCGGGACACCAAACCTTCTTATATACGCAGAATTGACGTGATGTACAGCAAAATGAAGTTAGAGCACTATATGTAGTTGACGGCAAGTGCCGTCACTGTCCCAATAGGCACACTGACTAGTGCGGCTTATAGCGTCAGCGCCTCATTAGGCACACACTAGCCACATAGAGTGTCCGCGAACGTGTTAATATTATTATTATCGTTATTATTACTTTTATTATTATCTGCACTTTCCGCGCAGCGCCACCAGTTCATATACATTATGTTCAGTACAAGTTTGACCCTATCCAAATAAAACATCAGCGCTATAGACCTTATAACCTGGATAGAACATAGCTGCTATGCTTCCCAAGTTAAAGATCGGCCAAAGATTTACGGAGAGACCGACAGACAGACCGACACCTACAAAACATATAAAAAAGCATATCTCATTATCGAAATTTGTCTCCAGCAGGCGTGGGAAATACGGTTAAAATGGCGTCTGGTAGATTAATTTTGTACAGAATTTGGCAAGATAAACATTATCATTTGACAATTTTTCCAAGTTTTCTGGATGTTAAACGAAACCACGTATGTTGGTATATCATATGGTACATATCAGTATGAAGACTTTATTTTGTCATGAAACCTTATATTTCGGCTGCCCGGTATGTCGCCTTTTTAATGACAGTGGACGTCACCTAACTGTTAATTTAACGGTAACTGTCCCAGTTAGATTCAACTAGTCAGGTATAGGTGGCTAACATATGTAACTGCCTTTCGGTGTATGCCAAAGGCTTAGGGGTATTCTGCATTTCCAGCCTGGCTGTTCATATGTAGGTGGCAGTTGTCAGTATGATTTGTGCACAACATACTTATTTTTTCAGTAGACCATACACGCTTGTTGACTTTCCGTTTGTCTGTCTTCAATGATTGGACCTATACCATAGTGATGATTCCTAACAAGCTTGAAACAATATTTCAAGTAGTTGGTCTGGGTTACAGAGATGCAAATCAAACAGATTTAGTTCTGCTTGTAAAGCTTTGTACAAAATACTTTAAAAAAAGATTTTCAATGGTATCCTTCAGGGGGATGTACCTCCGAAACAAAATTTCGCCAATAGGTCAAAATGATCGTAGAATAGTCCATAGAGTCAGCCCTAGAATCTATGTCTCATGTTTTGGAAGCTCCCTGTACTTTTTTGATGAACCTCTATCTTTTCCTGTTTGCTCATTAAATATACCACAAGTATTCCACCTCGGCAGCTGTATGCTGGTCCCGTATTTTGATGAGCACTTGATATCACTCCAAAAACAGACACAGCACATACGGTGGACCTGAAAGTTTCATTCCCACGCCACCTTCTGCATACTTTTTAACATTTTCCAAAACGACGCAGCTGTGCAAACATCAGCTCCGTTTCCCGCTCTTTCAGCTTTGATTTAGCTATGCGGATGGTTTCGCGTTTACAATGGAGCAATTCATGCAGCACTGATGATACATATACTGCGGCTTGTAAACGTGGAGCACGATGTGAATAGAGCTGAAACCTACGCCGCCAATGCTAGGCTCTTAAATCTCTAAAAAAGGCTACGAAATAGTGTTTATACTTTACGTTCTACGCCACTGTCGAGGAAGTGTTGTAGTGGCGAAAAAATCCGAAAATGAGACATTATGTCGGTCTGTCTATCTGTCAAATAGTCCCTGGGATTCTATTCTGATTCTCATCGGAACTTACTGATTACCGACAACTCGACCGCGTTATGCATGACGTGACCAAGCGACAAATCTCTGTTTTTCAGGAGGATGAATAAAATTTAACATTTTATTAAAAATCAATGCTACGCTTGTTTTGAATGATTTTTGTTCTGCGAATAGAAAATGATATTACAAATTTATCTATACAATCATTTTTTCAAAAACTGTTATACCTTAAACTTAACGAACTGAAATGGCGTTTGGTCAAGTATTGCTTTCAAAAAGAATGCTCATTTTTCCTTGGACTTAATGACCTTAACACAAACATGTTACTTGGTCGTGCTATGCAAAATAAGGAACGCATTACTGAAAGATTCTTTATTTTTGTATTTTAGTAATTAGCATCAAATTGATTCAAAAAATAAAACTACACAAACTAAAATATTCTCGAAACAAATTAAGAAATTGCTTGAATGACCAATGTTGTAATAAACTCAATTATATACTGATTCAAAAATAAAATTAAGCACGATGTAACCACACATTTTCGAATTGAATCAAGAACCTGAATCAAAAATTTGTATTATTCATCATGAAGCTCGAAATCTGGTTGACCATCGAACCCATCTATATCGTCCTCAATACTTGAATCACCAACTATAGCCCTATGGAACTTGTTGGAATCCTTGGGTATAAGACTTAGGTGAGTAACAGTCGATTATATGGGGGTTGGTCACTTTAAGCAAAATTTTGGTAGTGCAAATGCCTACCCTACACAAAATCTGGTCGTTTGGTCATGTGTTGCAAAATAAATAACAACAAATATTAGGTACGCTTGGCGCTTAGTTAAAAATGTTCTCGCTTTTGAACCTCAGGTTGTTATTTTTTGGCCGCCAGTGATACGCTTGGCTCCAATTACTACGGGTGTGGGTGGTCGAGACGACGGTGTGATTGTTGATCAGCCGCCAACTAGTTTAGGAATGCCTAGAATGTGCTGTAAAAAATACTACTACTATTCTACAATCGCCGTATCAGAGAGTCCAGTTCTGTATGAAGTTCCGTGGTTCCGTTCCATGAGACAAATTGTGAACCTGTCGAATTGTCTGTCGAAACTGTAAACAATGAAAGAAATTACCAAGTTCAGATTGAAACGTTATATATTGCCTGAAAAGACAACGCCGTATGCTATGTACAAGGATCTCACGAAAAGAGAGGTCGGCTACCTTATGTGTTACTTCCTAGAACTACACGAAGTCGTAACACTTGCATTTAGATATGCTATGTCTCATTTGCTGGGTAAGGTGATGTGTTACGAAAGAAGGGGGGTCCCAGATATGTCTATGGTAAGTATGCGCACTGAAAGGTGAAACATATACAAGTGATCTTAACCTAATGGATAATGTTACAGCAACAAATCGGGAATTCTATATTTCAGCTGTCCCTGAGACCTGAAGTCTTACATAAACCTTACAGCCTAATCTGACCTGCAATCTCTGGAATCACCTGTTGGAGGTCACCTGGTGGTGTCAACTAGCCCTCAGATGGTAAAATGTAGGTATGCAACAGGAAGCAAAAGACGTTGAAGTGAAGAAAAAACAGAGAATAAAGAAAACGAAAAAGGCCTGTGGACAAAAGTCAAGCAATTAATCAGGCACTACATGAGTGCTTCAAGCATCAGCTAAAGGCATCAAAAAAAAAAAGGTAAGCTACCTACGTAGGGTGTAGGGTGGCCTTTAATGTAGAGGGAAATCTCCCAATCTCAATAATCCCACAATACTAGTGGTGCGCCTAAAGCAATTGGAATTGTTTTCAGCTATTTTCCGGTACCATATCCGCCCTTGCTTAACAGACGCTCCGTTCGATACGGGAAAATTGCAATGGCGATCCTTTTTTTTTTACTTGTTGCGCGCGTCTCGCGCCTGACATTTCCACGCCAGTTGAATGCTATCATTCTCACCTTTGACAGTGACAGCCGACTTGACACCTGTCCGCAAACTTCATTGCTATTAAGGCTATAAAATTGTAAACAATGGCTAGGGTGGCTTCAGGGCCACTAATTTATAAAAGAGAACAAGTAATTTGACTTCAATAGTGTGAGTTAAGTATCTGCTACTTATTAAGTTTTGTTTCAGACTCGTTAGGCCAGGTCCACCAGAAGGGAGCAGATCAACAGGTGAAAACAGGAATTAAAATGCTATGTACAATGTATATACCCCTATACACAATAAATTTTAGCAAGGGTATGAGATCCATATATTCTTATCTATCTATATCGTATCTTATGAACTAGCAAACGAGTAAGTAGTAGAGAACCTTCTAATTCGTAAAATCTATGCAACTATAACTTACAACAAAAAAAGGTCGTAACAAGGTCTCTATACTGCCTGAATTTTTTTTATAGGCAAGTTGACTGTGCATCAGATGGTAGCAAAATCTTTATATTTATCAAATGGCGCTTGGTCAAGTTATGCATAACGCGCTCCAACTATGGATAAGCGCAACCAATGACTTCATGCCCTAGCCTAGGTACGATGTGCTCGCATAAAGTAATTTGCCATATCGACAGCTTGGATTAGAAGTGGACGATCAATAGAGTTACTTCAGTACATAATATTGTAGCAGATTTATTATGATATAAGTAAATATACTAAGGGACATATAAAATGCAACACCAAGAATTATTATACACTGATAAAATATTGAAGGCATTCGGATCCTTACTTTTTTGTAAACGCTATATTTGTCAAATCAGGAACCGAACAATAAAAACATTTTTGCCTAATATTCAGTGATTTTTCTGTGTTGGTTCCATTTGTTTCATTGTTGCTTCATTGTGCTATAATGCCTAGAGTTCGGAGACGCGCTAATTTCACTCAACTTTCCGAGTTTGAGAGCGGTCGGATAATCTTTTAGAGAGATACTGATCGGGTGAATCGAAACGAAGCTACTGTAATGAGATGCTCTCAAGCGTGGTTCCAAAAAGCCTGAAATCGACGACTTGGACGTCAAAGGTAAACTACAGAGCGACAGGATCGTTATTTGAGGCAGCTGTATATCGCCGAATAATACAACATATCGCGTATATACATAGCACATACTGTTCAAAAGATAAGGTTATATTTCTCAACAAACGGTGAAAACTTCAAGCCATAATAGATACATACGCCTACTACACAATATACATCGATTATCTACGACCGAACGGTAAATTGTACCTTGTGTATAATTATGCCTTTTGGACGTTAAATATCAGTTTTCATCTCACGGACACCACGGGCAGACATAGCATCATAGTCGTTGTTAGGGCGTGCGCCAAGTTCCGCTGACAACGTCCGTTTAATTTTTCTTTATGTTTTTCATTTTCAAACCTTAATACCATAAATGCATAATAGCTATTAGTGCCTTTTGATATAACTGTTGTACAATTTCTGGTAAATACTAAAATATACCCATTATTTACTGCGAACTGGAAATCCTCATACCAGAATCTATAAATATACTAAGTGACATATAAATACGAACACCCAGTTTAAATGCTTTCATTTCAATAAAAGTTGGTGAATGTACGTATTTATCTTACTGTAAATAACAAGTGAAAACATTTTCAGCCTTATCAGTTGGACATTTCGGTTTTTATACTGCTTTTTTTTAATTCACTAACGCTCTAAAAATGAATATTTCAGCCGCAGTAAAGAATCAACGTTGGCGGATTTTGGTTCTTGACATCCTTTACGATCGGTTACGATGCCTAGAGTACGGAGACCTGTACGATTTCGTCAACTTAGTGAGTTTGATAGGGGCCGTATAGTGGGACTTCGGGAAGCTGGACTTTCTTTTCGGGCAATTGCAGTTAGAGTGCAAAGAAGTGTAGACACTGTGGTTAGGTGTTGTCAGGCATGGCTTCGAGAAGGCCGTACGCAAAGAGCAAGGGGCACTGGACGCCGCCGTAGAACAACAGACCGTGGAGATCGCCGCCTAAGATTATCGGCCTTAAGGGACCGTTTCTCCACTACCAGGTCCATTGCAAATGAATGGTTTGCAGAACACGGAAGACCTATTGGCATGCGAAGTGTTTACCGATGAATGAGAAGTTTTGGCTTGTTTTCATACCGGCCACACTGGGTCCTCCCTTTAACTCGAGAACACCGACGTAATCGCCTTGAGTGGTGCAGACAACGGTCACTCTGGGACCAGGAATGGAACAGTATTGTCTTTAGTGATGAGTCTCGATTTTGTTTAGGCATGCACGATGGTCGTGCCAGGGTTAGAAGGCGACGTGGTGAAAGGAGGAATCCACAGTTTTTTGTTGAAAGACATGTTCATCACACTGTTGGAGTTATGGTTTGGGGTGCTATAGCTTATGGTTCCAGGTCACCTTTAATCTTCATCAGAGGTAACATGAACGTGCAGCGTTATATCCACGAAGTTCTAGAACCCCAACAAGATAATGCCCGACCACATGTTGCAAGAGTCACAATAGACTTCTTTCAACATAATGATGTCACATTGTTACCATGGCCACCAAGATCTCCCGACTTATCCAAAATTGAGCACGTGTGGGATATGATGGGTAGGAGATTGCTCAATTTGCAACATCCTCCTCAGACTCTAGAAGCACTTCGAGAGGAGCTGGTGGTTGCCTGGAATGAGATACCACAGGAGGACATTGACCACCTGATCAGAAGCATGCCTAGGCGCGTTGGAGAATGCGTAGCATATCAGGGTGCATCCACACATTATTAAAGGTCAAAGGGCTTTAAAGCAGTGCAATCATTTAGTATATTATAGACATCTAACATATCTATATACCAGCCTTAATAACAATAATAAGCACACAGACAAATCCAAGACATGACGAATGGTACTAAATAAATGTCACACGTTAAATATCTGATAATTAACATAGGACATCTATTATATTTTTTGCTCGTTGGTCCAAAATTAGTTGATGAAACGTATGGTCTGAAATATCGGTAGTATCAAAGACTTCATGTGCCAGCCTATACGCGATATGCTCGCTGAAAGTCCTGCAGTGTGTACTGATTGATGTATTAAATTCGCCATATTGACAGCTCGGTCGATCAATAACGTTACTTCAGTACATAATATTGTATCATATTTATTATGCTATAAGTCAATATATGTATGTATGCTTGAAAATAGACAAACTATTAAGGTTGTGTGGTTTAAAACGCAAAGCATAGCTGTATAACAACAAAATACTGAAACTAAAACTGAAATTAATGGGCTAATAATACAATGCACTGAATCAGCAGAATTTGGTAACTAGTTTCGTATGTCTATCGCAAATATATATACACAATGTGTTTGGTCACGACATACCGGTATTTAAGGGGGGTATTTTTCATCTATTTTTATCGACAAATCCACCTCCCTACAATGTTCTATCTCACCCCTCATGAAATGGCATCATTTTTATTTTTACGTTACGATTACGCTAGTGCATGTATGAAAATTGTAATAACTGAGTACATAAGTGTCATAGAACGATAAGTTTGGTGTCAATTGAACAAGAGCATGTTGTTCTAGCAATTTTTGAAAAACTTGTATTGATACTAACCGTCAAACATACTTAAAAACAGACAAAACCTGAAAAAAATATGCAAGACAATTGATTATTTTGTGCATTTTCGCACACCATTCAAAAGCTAGTTTGTGAAGTTGTACTTTTTTATGTTAATTCTGCAGCTAACTATGTTATCTACAAAATGACACCAAATTTGTTACCCTAAGTCTTCTACGTTAAGTAATAAATGCTATCTAACATATGTCGAAATATACATAAAAATGACAAATCAAGGTTTCTTATAAATCAATGTCACTAAACAATTCTATGGACGGACGAAGCAAAATTTACCAGGCAGGGGAATCATAAACCATAGAAACAACCACTTATGGTCTTCGGAAGCCGCTCACGCAGTTCGACTGAGCACTTTCCAACAGGAATTTGGTGTAAACATGTGGGCCCGAATGATCGACGGAGTTTTAGTCGGCTCAGTTGAGCTACCTCCAAGGTTAGATGGCTAGGGATTTTTGGACTTCTTGAGTACCGAGTTTTCAGATCTACGTCACTTATCAACGGCCGCAACATATGGTTGGAGCTCCAATACGCTTTTGCGCTAGAACATTTGGATAGGCAACATTCTCCATGGTTAGGACGTGGAGGCACTGTCGCTTGGCCACCCCGATCACCCGATTTAACGCTCCTAGATATTTTTTCTGGGACACAATGAAGCAAAAAGTCTACTGTCATGTGTCGACGACACGGATAGAGCTCGTGGGAAGGTTCCATACCGCTGCGAATGAAATTGGAGCTGACACGGATATGACCCGCTGCTCAACGACACATTGTTACAATGTGCATAACCAATAATGGAGGGCATTTTGAACAGCTTCTGTAACATTAAACATGTCCAAACTATCTATAAGAAACTTTGATTTATCATTTTTATGTATACTTTGACCCATGTTAGATAGCATTTATTACTTAATGTAGAAGGTATTTGGTGTCATTTTGTAGATAACATAGTTAGCTATAGAATTAGCACAAAAAAGTACAAATTCACAAACTAGTTTTTGAATGGTGTGCGGAAATGCACAAAATAATCAATTTTCTTTTTTCTGCTTTTGTCTGTTTTTAAGTATGTTTGACGGTTAGTATCAATACAAGTGTTTCAGTAATCGCTAGAACAACATGTTATCGTTCAAATGACACCAAAGTTATCATACTGTGACTCTTATGTTCTCAGTTATTACAATTTTCATACACGCACTACCGTAATCGTAACGTAAAAATAAAAATGGCTGCCATTTCAAGGGGGGTGAGGTAGGATACTGTAAAGTGGTGGAATTGGCGATAAAAATAGCTGAAAAATATCCCCCTTAAATATCGGTATGTCGTGACCAAACACATTGTATATATATATATACAGGGTGTCCCGCGAGGTAAGGGACAACATTTTTCTACGTGTTCCTCAGGTCAATTCGAGTGGAAAAAGTCCTACGGACATGGGTTCGCAAATGCTTCCTTATCGAGACAATTATTTTTTTATTTTTAGTGGGCTAATGATGGGAAAACCAGAATATTGTTGAAAAATTACTTTTATTCAACACAAAATTACTAGGTACAATAAAAATAACGATTCACAATAGTTGTTCAAAGTGTCCACCTTCACACTAGTGTAAACATAGTCTAGCCCGTTTAATAATGTGACTGGTGGATTTCCCACTAACAAGATGATTAATGCCTATATCGACAGCGACATCAGTAATTTTACGGAGCAGTTCAGCCCTGGTATGCGGTATCTCTGCATATGATAAAGATTTCATATGTCGGGGTGGCCAAGAAACTGCGCCCCCTCGTCCAATCCAACGCCCAGGAAAGTGTTATTTAAATACTCAGTCCCTTTTCTACCACTGTCGGACGGAGCACCGTCATGCCGTAACCACATCTGTTGTCTTCTCTTCAGCGGAATATCCTCTAACAACTCATGCAATTCTTCTCGTAAGAATTGAATATAAACTTCAGATGTAAACTGACAGTCAAACACAAAAGTGATCCAATAACAAACCGCACCAAACATTAACAGAAAAACGGTGCTGGAAATTCCGTTCGATAGTTGCGTAGGGATTTTCAAGCTGCCAAGACTGGGAATTCCTCAAATTATTGATGCCGTCTCGAGTAAAAGTGGATTCGTTGGTGAACAAAATCTTTTTAACAAGATTACGATTTCCAAGGAGCCAGTTGCAAAACTGCATACGAAGGTCCGGATCAGTGAGCAGCAGAACTTGGACAGGTTGCAGATGAAATAGGTTCAAACCAAAGTTATGCATTGTTCTCCACACACTTCTGATGGACGTGTTACAGTAGCATTTGGAACCGATCCTGTTGCTTTCACATGTGCCAAAACTCTTCCAAATACCCTTCTGTCAGGTATTCTTCGGTTTGAATACCGGTGGCGGTATTCGTTCACTGATGCTCTGCCATTTCCGTTGCAATATCCGTAGACAAACATCATGTCACCGTATTCCTCACTTGTAAAAACAAACATGACAGTAATTTTTGCAAGGTTCAATCAAACTGACACAACTACTGCTTCCACAAACAAACAAACACCAGCGTATTAATCGGGCAGTACAACGTGAATGAGGATTTTGATTATTGTAAACAGTTGTTTTCATACGAACAGTATTAAATTTTTTGTTAAATAGAAGCAATTTTCCAACAATATTGTTAAAAATAAAAAAACCATATCTCGATAAGGAAGCATTTGCGGACCCATGTTCATACAACTTTTTCGACTCGAATTGACCTGAGGAACACGCAGAAAAATTTTACCTCGCGGGACACCCTATATATATACAGGGTGGCCCATCTATGTGTGGACGGAATATTACTAATAAACAAGTACATTTTGGGAAAATCTATGTACGGCATGTTATACTCGTACATGACATTTGAGGGCGCATTTCTAAAATATTGGCAATTATACAGGGTGTCCCAATTTTGATCTACATATCAAAGTTGTGATTTTTTTAATGGAATGCCTAAAATTTTATTGCATATTTGGATAAACCAATTCAAAGGAAGAAGATTGATATAACGAACTATGGGGTTTTGGTATTTAGCTACTGAGGTGTAAGGTGTTTCGGCAACCCCTCAATCCGCCATTTTGAACTTTGGAGTGGTGAATTTTGTATCAAAAAAAACTTACACACCTGCGCTTTTGTTATACTTGTCACTTTTTCGAATTTACATTTTTGCTCATACTGGGTGGAAACGCGAATTGTACATTTTCTCAAAAATTTCAAATGCCTGTATGCTTTGTGCAAGTTTGGATTCAATTTTTTATAAGCTTTTTTTGGTATAAGGTTTGATTCAGATAAAGTCACTAGATTTTGAGATATTAAGCTTTTAATAGAACAACATACTAAAATTAAGGAAAAAAAATCATATCATCCATGGAAACAAAAGACAAACAGTGGGCTAGTTCCATATTGCCACTAAGAGTAAGGATTTGACGTAAAAACTAATAACAATCGGAACAGAATAAATCAGCTTCAAGCGTAATAGAGAAAAACAATTATAACAACAACATAAACAAACAAGTATCACTACTCAAGACCTAGTCTACAGAAACTGCTCGAAAATATCTCCACCATGTTGAATACACTGCCGTGGTCTTTGGATAAGTGAGCGATGCACATCACTCAGCATATGTTTCCTTATGTTCAGAAAAGCATCCTTAATCATTTCCTTCATATTTTCTGGGCTGGATGGAGGATATCTAAAAACTTCTTGCTCCTCTTGCTTAACGTAGCCCCATAGAGAGAAGTCCATCGGTGTCATATCTGGTGATCTAGGAGGCTAAGATATATGCCCATCACGACCGATCCAACGATTGTTACTCCAGGTGTCCAAATAGCACACGATTATGAAAATGCGTAGATGCGTCGTCTTGTTGGAGGTACAAATGCTTCCGAGTTTTCAGGTTGACATCCTCCAAAACAAAGGCAAATGCTTGATCAAAAAATCCAAGTATTCTTTACCTGTTAATCTGTTGTCGAAAAAGAAAGGCCCGAAAACTTGTCTGCCAATAACTCCTCCCCAAACATTCAAGTTCCATTTATTTTGGAAATCTATTTGCCTAACGCAGTAAGGGTTTCCGACGCATAATAGTGAATGCTATGTACAACACCTATGCTGTTAAAAGTTGCCTCATCGCTAAAAAGAACCTTATCCAGGAAAGTAGTATCATCACTCACTTTATTCAGCATTATTCTACTAAACTGCCTTCGAGCTGCGAAATCCTGAGCACGAAGGCCTTGATGCAAGCATAGGAGATATGGATGGTACCTATGCTTTTGAATAATCCATTGGACAGAAGTTCTACATATATCAGTTTCTGCTCCAATTTGCCGTGCACTTAAATGAAGATTTTCCTGCAACTTTGATAGAACCTCCAACTGATTCGCCTCATTGGTGACACTTCTATCACTTATACATTCTTTACTATATTCCACTGCTCCACTTGATTCAAAACGTTCTCATAGGGTGGAAAATGTTTCCGGCCCGGGATTGTCGCATATTAGGGTACCGTTGCTTATAAATGCGAGATGCTAGGAAACAATTTCTTTGGGCTTCGCCCAAAACGAACATCATATTCACTATTTCTTCTTTAGAAAAATTCATTTTCAAACACGTTTTTATTATAATGCTCACTAAGCTAATTTTGACAGTTTGTAACTAATCAACAATTTATTTGTTTCCAAGGGTGATGCGGTATTTCAGGGAATTAAGCTGTTCCATAAAAGACGTGTTAATAACCGAAAAAATAGCCGTAGAAGTCCATATGTGCCTAGTATCAAAAAAAGCCTATAATAAATTGAATCCAAACTTGCACAAGTATACAGGATGATGCATTTGAAATTTTTGAGAAAAACTACAATTTGCGTTTTTGACCACCCTGTATGAGCAAAAATGAAAATTCGAAAAAGTAACAAATAAGATAAAAGCTGAGGTGTGTGCAGTGGAGTTGCCAAAGTGGGTATTTTTTTAGACAAAACACCTTATATCTCAGTAGCTAATTACCAAAACCTCCTAGTATGTTATATCAACTTTCTTCTTTTGAATTGGTTTAATCAAATGTGCAATAAAGTTTGAGACATTCTATTTGAAAAATCACAACTTTGATATGTAGGTCGAAATTGGGATACCCTGTATAATGACCACTATTTTATAAATGTGCCCTCAAATGTCATTTATAACATCCCATAAATAGATATTCCAAACATGTATTTGTTTATGAGTAATACTCCGTCCACACATGGATGGGCCACCCTATATATATATATATATATAAAAATTAAAGCTTCCGACTTTTGTTGGGTACTTCGACAAGATTTAAGCAAAGAGGACTCTTTATACTTTTTTTAATTCTCTCTAGCTTTCAATGGACTTTGCCATCATCATCAGGAGCTGCAATTACAATGATAACAGTAGCAACAAAGGTGTAAAATGAATTTAAATTGACTCAACTTACAGTAGTATGTGAGGATGTTGCTAATTGTAATACTACTGTAAGTTGAGTCAATTTAAATTCATTTTACACCTTTGTTGCTACTGTTATCATTGTAATTGCAGCTCCTGATGATGATGGCAAAGTCCATTGAAAGCTAGAGAGAATTAAAAAAAGTATAAAGAGTCCTCTTTGCTTAAATCTTGTCGAAGTACCCAACAAAAGGCGGAAGCTTTAATTTTTCACCTAACTGGTCTAGACGACAATGACCACGTCTCAAAATATATATATATATATATACTCGTATATATAAGTGGAAGAACTCGTATTTGAGGAAATCGACAAATTATGCAAAGTGTACTCGCTAAACTTACAACTCAAGCTTTCGACAGTCTATGCTGTCATTATCAGGAGATTGGTGCTAAAATATCTTAGACAATGTGGATGAAACCACATAGGACGATCAAAAACTGGATTTATGAGATTCTCTATGAAAAATTATTAAAATACGTGGCCATGTTTTACCAAATACCACAGGCGGACTTAATAAAAGTTCCCGAATAAGTAATTATTAAAACTATTCTATTTCACATCC